GATAAAAAATCAGATGAAATGCTTTGACTGACATATATTTTTTCCACTCATTGGAACTGATATAGATAACTGGGACCATAGACCCTCCAGGGTCTATGCTGGGATAAAAAGAGTGCAAACCATCAATTACGAAATACACACATTATGATTCTTTTATCAGTTTATCGGAGTAACTTTACCTTGATTAGAGCTTCAATGAAACAAACATGAGTGACTGGATCTCTCTTCTTAGCAAGTACTTTTTGAAGGTGCTGAATCTACAGAAGTGAAATAGAAGAAAGTGAAATTATATCCATCATACAGTTTAATATATACCATTTAGACATTGTCCATAATTTTGGTACATGTAAAAAGCAACTGTATAATCTTATGTATTTTTTTTGTTTTGATTAGAAAACAAATGCAAAGAAACAAATCAGTAGATAAAAAACAGTTCTAGAAAACATTTTTTCATGCTCACCTGTCCACACGCAGCATGAATCTGATCCATTAATTTTTCCATATTGGTCCATAATGAGGCTCTAAAAGCAGCCGTATTGCCAGGCATTGGCATGGCAGCATGACCAGGACCACCCTTTCCAGGGGCCTGACTCTGTGATATCAGTCTCACATCTACAGCTTCAATGACATTTCTTTCAAGAGATTTACGAATATTGCACACCACTCTATTGACTACTTCAGTCAAACAACCAAGATTGTGAAATACTTGCAAGGAAGTGGCAACCTGGGTTTGATTCTGTGAAATAAATACAAGCATATATAGTTGATGGTAGTCTCGAACCAATTACACAAACCTGTTCACTATTGGTTGATATGATTGCTTGAAATGGAAATAGATTTTTATAATATTTTGTAACCCAGTTGACCCAGTACTACTGACTATTTTTGGGAGCAAACATCGGGGCATTTTCACTGCCTGGCAACCACAACAGATAAAAACAACAGTCAAAAACACTCAAAAATCTGTACTTTGGACTAGTTGTTGAGACTCTCTTGAACAGTGTAACAAAACAACCCCTAGATGTGCAGCATATATAAATTTGACATGGTACATTGGTGTGCGTCTTAGCAACATAGAACGTTTTGTGATGTAGCTCCGCCCCTAGAATACTCTTGATTATGGAAGGTCTAACAATGCTGGACAAAAGAGAATAAACACCTCTGAATAGAAACAACAAGTAGATTCAGTGTATTGTAAGAAGTACTGCGAGTGTCTGAGTGTTCAATAATTACCTACCTGTGTTTCCATGCCTTGTTCCAGCATTTTCTCAGCTTGTGCTTCAACATCTTTCCTGGCTTTTTCTATAAATTGTGTATCTTGTTCTATGACTTCAATACCTTCCAAGTCAACACCTTGGTACAAGTAATCTACGCCCAAATAAAAATTACATATTACACACTAGACACTGGTCGCTATAACAACACAGAATTAGGTGCATCATTGGTCAATGAGTGTACATTACACACCTTTAAGCCTATCATCATCATTGTCAATTTTTGTCCCTTCAAATGAAAACTTATAATCCGGTAAACTACTGTAAAATAATTTATTTTTGTTTTTTTGCTGAAGGGATGATACTATGAAAATAACATCAAACAAATATAATATTTTTCCTATATTTTATATTCATATAAAACACTAAAAAAGCCTTTTTTGCAAAAATTAAATTCAGCTAAAATAGTATTTTACAGTAAGTTCGAATAAAGCCAAAATATGCATATTTAATAGAGCAAATATGTACACTATTACAAACCTAATTCATTCAGACTTTGAGCAGCTTTGGTGATCTCTCTGGCCCCACCTTGTAACTGGCTATGAAGTCTTTTGCTGAGATATAAAATTCTGATGATACGTCTTAGAAGATCACATGCTTCCTGTAATCAGAGAAAATAAGTGTTGACAAGAAAACCTGTTTAAGCTTGGGTCGAATCACATTCGAGAAACAAGTATGGATACACAAAACAAAAAATAGTGCCAGCTATTCAGAATCAAAGTATAAAATTGTTTTTGCATAGAGAATGGAACCACCACCACTACATGTATAAACAAAGCATGTGTGTGTTACCTGTAATCTTCTAAGTTGTGCTGTCCTAGCCACGATTTACTGTATGGTTCAACAACCTTACCCCTTATCCTAAAAAAGAATTAACAATTAATGTATAACTTATCTTGAATAGTAATCTGAATTTAACTCATTTCAACTCTAGCTCTAAGATTCCAAGATTTAATACTGATCCTGGTATACTTCTAATTCAAGCATTCTTTACCAATACAAATAAGACTAACAATCTCATGAACAGTTTTGCGGTTATACTGGAATAATGAAAACTGTTACCTTTCTACAGCAGCCTGCAATGACTTAATTCTAGTCTGCATCATCTGCAGAACAACCTCTAACGTTTCAATTCCAGTTGCCTGTGATAACAAATCCTCATGCCGGGCAACAACCTAAATATAAACACATCAATCAAATTGTTCTAATAGACTAGAAGAAAGGAACAAGACCAATTTAAACTTTACCTTGGCCTTTTATTAAGATGTAAAATTTTCACATTATTATATTCAGAATAGAGACCAGGATTACTGCCAGAAACTTGCCAGTGCCAATGTAGGTCTGCTTTTTCTGGGATTATTTACTAAGTGGACTGTTAAGATTCTGGTCATTGGTGATTGTCATTCTGAATATCAGTCTAAAAAAATACTCACTATTCAAATCCATAGATAAAGCATTCAATGTAAGTTCTGAAAGCCCCAGTTCTATCTGGAAATCCACTACTTGCAACAAGAATGCCAGAGTTCATTAATGTAGATTGGGGTCAGAAACAGTTCAAAAGATGCCATTCAAACAGCACATATTTGGTGGTTACAGCAGAATACTGTAAAGGCATCAATTATTCACTGGGTTTTAATTTTGCTTTTATGCTGATAAGTAAAATCTGCTAAATTAATACACATGTCAAATAACAATAGAGCTGATTGTTTGGAAAATTCATGAATATAAATATATGAAATGGCAGTGAAAATAAATGGTTTTACAGTATATTTACAGCCGTTCTGAGAATTATTTGGACAGTCAGTTAGCAATATATGTTGAAACTTTGCAAAACACTTGGGTCTTTTCCAATCTAGACTTGATGGCACCGTTGTATTGGCATGCCCACAATAGGAATCATTCCATTATCTTGCAAGATGCGAGTAAAATGCTGTTTTCAAAACGACACGCGTTGGTTACCATATATTAACAGGTTATATGTTGTATATGCATTCAAAGTGTTATTTTAAATTGTTATAACCATCTGAGTCCACCTGACATAGCGTAATTTACAAAACAACTCCCGAGTGTTGAGTAACCCCAGGTATTAATAAACTCGTCGTTGGCGGGAAGACTCAAAGTAAAGTTTCTTAGCGGGACGCGCTGCAGTTTCGCGACAGTTTTGGGCCAAACTAAAAGTTGTTTTTACATTACTGGTGCTGTGAGTACGTCAGGGATACACAGATGGAAAACTCGATTATAATGGTTTGATGGATTTTGTGAAATCAAAAGTGCCTTCCTTGATCCACATGATAGAAGGACTGTGCTTGATCGAATCACTTTTTCAACTGCAGTTTGAAAATGACGGGTATAACGACATTGACGCTGCAGTTCGGCGTCTTCTACACCGATCTGACGCATATCGCGCTAGGTGTGCCGGGAGTTTGTTCGAAATTTCGAACGTTTCGAAGTCAATCGTCGATTGCCAGGTATTTTACGGATATATTAATTAAATCGTTTCAGAGACCTGCTTTCTAAATAATGATAAATGAAACTTAGAAAGCTTGTAAGAACAAACTGGGCCCAAATCGCGCAAATTGCAATAAGTTTACGCTGCTAGAGTCTGATTCGGATGGAGTTCTACGTGTGATTTTATTGCGCTCAAGGACGTTCTATTTTCGAACTAGTTGAAACCGGAAATAACGCAACTACTTTCGAACTTCAAACACAAATTTGATTATCGTTATTATGTGTTAGTTTCTGTTGTTTCAAAGATTGAATTATGTATGACAGTAATATTTCACTCTATAAACAATATTTCACTAAAATATGTGATTCAAAGGCAACCCAAATTGTAAAAAGCAATATCAAGTTCCGTGTATAAACACTGTTGTAAAGAGGCGGCGGAGCGGAATTTTAGCCAAAATCGGCGAGTAAGGCGTCATATGACACAGGCACGCTAGATAATACTTACAATTCACCAAGCCGACAACGCCTATGAAATAGTAACCCCAAACCACGCGCCCGTCACTCAAGTGGCGCCGACAAGTCTAGATTGGGCAAAGACCAAAGTGTTTTGCAAAGTTGCAAGTCATTTTGCTAACTGACTGTCCGAATAATACTCAGAACATCTGTAAATTTATACTGGTGAGTGAGTAGTTGACTATGATGCAAGACAAACACTAACCACTGTACCATGACCAGATCAACATTTTTTAAAAATTAAAAAAAAAATATTTTTGTGCCAGGTGACAGTTCTGTATGTCACTACTGTCACTCCTGATTTTTTTTATGTGCAAGTGCCAGTGCTGACATATAGTGTATTTTTCCAGAGGAACTATATTTCAGTTTGGGACAGGGCTATGTGACCATCTTCCTAGAATGGCATTATGGTAATATGCTATCCCGATGTCAACAACACTCGATTGAACACAAGCGGATATTTCTCACCTGTGAATGTAGTTCTTGGTCCAATAATGAGATGCCCTCAACCAGTTTTGATAACTGCTGTGATATAGCCATGCTTTGCATGACATTGTTAGTATGCTCCTGGACATCAAAATCATCCTTAAGGAATTCATGAAATACATCTAAAATCCAATAATAATAATTACTATTAATATACATCTGTCACAGTAACGCCATAAGTTACAGTGTGCCATAATTTTTGTGGTATTTTACAGGGTATTTTCATCCTACCATATTAGGAAATGCAAATTCAAAATATGGAATGATTATGTGCGTAAGCGTCCTCTAATAATAAAAACAAACATGGCTGCCACCAGGGTTTGACCAGACTCTACATAAAAAAGTTTGCTGATTCTGTTCTAAACATTTTGGATTTTTTTCATTCCCATGATGTATCCTTGGAAGGAAAAGATGTATAATAATAAGGTTTCAGGTGAAATCAGAGTAATCATCGATTTATTCATTTATTTTTTATTTGTAACCATTTTTCTGCCTCAAGTTTTAATAAAGACTGATTATAAGTAAATAGATAAACAAATAAATAAACATAACTGTTCACCAGATAAACAAGATTGTTTTATATTCCTAAATCACACGAGTAGTCCAGTTTTTACCCAGCACAATTATGTGATACGATTACAATAAAGCACGATGGAAACCAAAACAGAAATTGAATGTGCGGGTCCCAAATTAACGTTTGTTGATGTGTCCACTGTGTGTAGTTGGTGCCCTCTCGAGTTGAGAGCCACGTAGGCAGGCAGGGGATTTACCTCGATGCTCTTATACCAAGTGTTAATTTATGATCCAATATTCTAGTTGAACTAAAGTACAAGATGTAAATAACTATATCTAACACTAGACAGATTGCAGTACATCCGATCATCAAATAACCGATACTTACCATCTTCCAGCAATCGACTTTGCAGTTTGGGATCCATGCTGGCAATTGAGTATTCTAACATTCGCAGACCAGTGGTCGACTCATTCAAAAATAATAGTTTAAACATAAACAGAAGTATACATGTCGCCTATATAATATTTGTATTATATTTAGAACAATAATAATAATTACTTTCAAATAGTTTTCAAATATATAATTTATTTTAAACAAATAATTAAATACTTTGATCTGAGCGACAAACTGTGAATGTTCAGTTTGGTTTGTTTGTTCGCATTACATTACTTGTTTTGTTGCAGTCGCCAGCGAATGCAGTAAATGTGTACATGTTGTAGAGATACTGAGATCGATACCATTTTCAATTCAATTGACGACACATTCAACAATATTTTGCGAATCTGAGTACATACGAGTATAAATACTTTCTGTTTACAGTTCATAATGCACACGATGAGATTGTAGCATGCAGGTGAAGTGGACATGGCAAGCTTCGACGATTGCAACGAAAGCAGTAATACAACCATGCCTTGTCGACCGAGAGTTTCTGTGCAAGAGATGTTAAAAAATGATAAAGTATTAAACATATCTGCTCCAATGGTGAGATATTCAAAGTAAGTTAATTTGAAGATAATTTGTACAAACAATAATATTTGTAATACATGTATTCTCAATTTACCATATGGATAACAGAAACATTTTGATTTCCTACTATTTATTCATTTGTTATTATTTATTTATTTATAGGCTGGCATTCAGAACATTGGTGAGAAAGTAAGTTGACATCTGAAATATCCTTTCAAATATTGATTGTTCTTGAGGAAAAAAAACTTGCAGACAAGGTTGTAGGCAATATTTGAAATTTTGAGCTTGAAAAGTTTTTTCATGGTGGGGGTTGTTCAAACTGACTCAACATCTGAAGTTTCTATATCTTTATAGGTATCTATTTAGCTGATACTAAGAGCAATCAAATCATGTTTTCTGTATTACATGAATTTGTATAATTAATTAAACTCATTGCAGGTATGGTTGTGATGTAACTTTTACTCCTATGATTGTATCTGACTCATTTATAAAGTCAATCAAGGCACGAGATAATGAATTCTCAACACACAAAGGTAAATATTTCATTCTATTATTTTCAAGTTCAGTTTTTCAGATTAAATTAGCGAAATTATGATTTTTATTTAAAAAATTATATATTAAACAGGAGACCAGCCTCTAATTGTGCAGTTTGCTGCCAACAACACAAAAGATTTTGTAACTGCTACAGAACTAATTGCTCCGTAAGTATATACTCATGATCATTAGATTATTCTAACTGACGATGGATTTTAACTTTAAGTTAAATAACTTGTGCAAATATTTATCTTGGTGATATTTTAGTGCTGTGCTTTATTTATTATAATTTATTATTTATGATGCATTCCTTTACATCTCTAATGTAAAGTTCTCTAATTTTAAATACATGTATAATATAGTACAAATCAGCAGATGGTTGATATGGTGTAATATTGCAATGTATACTTGAGTTTAAGTGAAATTAATTTTTTGATTTCTTTATTATTTATTTCATAATTGTTAGATTTGCAGATGGTGTGGACTTGAACTGTGGCTGTCCACAAAGGTAAAGTTATAGTTACATTCATAAAGTTTTCACACCTGGAACACTCTAAATACTGACAGACCTGGAACATTGTAAACATTGACAGACCTGGAACATTGTAAATATTGACAGACCTGGAACATTGTAAATATTGACAGACCTGGAACACTCTAAATATTGATAGACCTGGAACATTTAAAATGTTGAGTGACCTGGAACATTGTAAATATTGATAGACCTGGAACATTGTAAATATTGACAGACCTGGAACACTCTAAATATTGATAGACCTGGAACATTGTAAATATTGATAGACCTGGAACATTGTAAATATTGACAGACCTGGAACACTCTAAATATTGATAGACCTGGAACATTTTAAATGTTAAGTGACCTGGAACATTGTAAACATTGATAGACCTGGAACATTGTAAAAATTGACAGACCTGGAACATTGTAAACATTGATAGACCTGGAACATTGTAAACATTGATAGACATGGAACATTTAAAATGTTGAGTGACCTGGAACATTGTAAACATTGACAGACCTGGAACATTGTAAACATTGATAGACCTGGAACATTTAAAATGTTGAGTGACCTGGAACATTGTAAATATTGACAGACGTGGAACATTGTAGACATTAACATGCAGACCTGGAACATTGCAAACATTGATAGAATTCTGAACATTGAGGTTGTGCTAAGTTGAATTAGTAAAATATAGTTTCAAGCAATTAATTCAATTGTCTTCTGGTAGGGTTACCAATGAGTATTTCATATTACATTTGTATTTTAGGTGGGCAATGGCAAATGGTTTTGGTGCAAATCTCATAAAACACCCAGAGCTTGTCAAAGACATGGTACAGCAAACAAGGAACAAGATCCAAGATGAAAAATTTTCAGTGTCTATTAAAATTAGGCTCAGGCATAATCTCAGGTACAATTGTATTAAAATGTTCAGATCTAAAAATTCTCTTGTTACTGAGGGTATTTTGCATATCTGTTAAAATAGTGGAAGCACAACATAAGAATTGAATATAGTGAATTTGTTGTCCATCAATTGCTATTATGTAAGGATCTATAAATATGACAATTTGATCAAATCTATCGATATTGAATTTTTAGTTTTCATAATTTTATTCTTTCAATATTTTATAATAAATAAAATTCTGTATACATCAGGTATTATGATGTCTGCTAAATAATTTGCACCTATATTTCCAACTTGTTTTCAGTATATGAAAATAGAAATATACAATACACTTGTACTAATAATTCACTCACGCTCTTCTTTTCAGGGATACTTTAGACTTGTGTCAGAAAGCTGAACATGCTGGGGTTTCCTGGATTACAGTGCATGGCAGAACCACAGAACAAAGAACAGAACCAGTGAATTATGAAGATATCAAAATAATTAAAGAGAATCTGTCAATTCCTGTTATAGCAAATGGTGATGTGAAGTCACTGAAAGATGTCAATAGGGTACATGAACTAACAAAGGTTGATGGTGAGTTGGAAACCACTGCTATTTATATATTCACCTTTCTCTATCATTCATGAAGCCTTGTACATATACAAAATGTCGGATAAATTGCCATCATGCAGTCTCAAATGTGTTTTTGTGGCAAAAATACACTACATGTACCTTCAGCACAGCTGTAGAAATAGATAAACTGTAGGGAATGTCACTGGGCACAAAAATATTGAAAAAAAAAACAAGAATTGATGGTTTCAGTATGTTAGAGAAATATAACTCTTATAAATTGAATAGTTTGGATAATTGTCAAAGTCATTTAATGATAGTCAAAACCATATTCTTGTTTAACAGGTTTGTTGAGAAGTGTGAAATATTTGGGTTGTTTTATTGTAACACTGCAACTCATTCGACAACATTTCATATTTGAATGAAGTTTAAAGTAATGAAAACGCTTGTTTTGTTTCACTATAAATTGTTTTTTCTTTAAAAGGTGTTATGGCTGCCAGAGGAATGCTCCATAATCCTGCAATGTATGCTGGGTATGAATTTACTCCACTCGAGTGCATCCAAGACTGGGTAAGAGATATCTACTTACATATTATCAAATCAAATGTGTTGTTGGTGGTGCAGTATCAACTAGAAAATTTGCTTTTTGTCAGATATACATGTTGAGTTTACAATAATAGTATCTCTACCAATATTAGTACAAGTATTACTGTATTTGTTCTATTAGTTGCGCAAACAATATGTTAATGATCGGTATATTGTAAAATAAGGCATCAAATATTTTAATGATCCAGCAATACTGGTAAATGTAATTTCTTGTTGATGTGCACTTCAAAATAAAACACTTGCAATAAAACAAATACAGTAGTGTGGTATAACTTGCACTGATCTGATCTGACCCAGTGTGTTATTATTTATATTTTTCAACAGGTCGATATTTCTCTTCAGTTGGGTACTCAGTTTCAATGTTTTCATCATCATTTGATACAAATGATGGAACATGTGACTTCAAAGGCTGACAAACGAATCTTCAATACATTATCCAATGTACCAGCAGTATTAGACTATTTACAAGAACACTATCAAGTATCTTACAATCCTGCAAGATTTCATCACCAACTGAATAAATCACAGAACATGTGGAAACCAGAGAAAATTAATAAACATAAACCCATGCTAAATGTAGATGATTATAATATTGGTGATACCTTTATATCAGTGGTCTAATATTTATTATCTTTAATCTAATTTATGATTGTCAAGTTTTTATTATTGAATTGTAATTAAATTTGTTGTACACGTCCTAAGGACTATGTTTATGGTCAGTCCAAATAACAGCTGTTCTGAGAATTATTCGGACAGTCACTTAGCAAGATGGCTTGCAACTTTGCGAAAGACATTTGCTTTTGCTTTGTTCTAGACTTGACAGCACCATTTGATAGCATGCTGCGTGGGATTCACTATTTTATGGGAATTGTCATGCAAATCAAAATAACTTGCTTCTGTATTCTGATGAACACATATCATTTGAAAATCTGCACTGGAATGATTTAATCTGTATGCGTGTAGATGGAACAATGCCGATTGGACAAATATGAAAGTCATCTTGCTAACTGACTGTCCGAATAATTTTCAGAACCTCTGTAACATGTTTCCAGTACAGCCAGTTGCTGTGTATATTTCAGCCAGTTTCTTGTACTGTAATATGAGCCAAGATTGTTTTAGGAGAAATTCACTCAACACAGATACGTCTGAATTATGTTATAAATCAATTGCTTTGAGATGCGATTCAAGAAATATCTTTTTATTCTTTTCTATAATAAAAATGAATTACAAAACATCATTTGTTTTCCTTACTTCTGGAATGGCAGTAATGTGAACAAAAACAGAAAATGCTACACCACATTGTCATGTCATCTATATAATGTACCTTTGTAACATTAAAAGCCCATATCTTTCATACTAGCCACAGAATCATTCCTTTCATTTTAGGAAATGACATGACCCTGTAAGGATGAAGTAGACTTTCCTGTACATTTTTCTGTGTCACACAAGGTTTGAAAGTTATCACAATTTATGTGATTTTATGAAATTTTTCACTCGCCAAAATATAAAAAATTGTTAGTGCTTTTAAAATGTGGCTTTTTTTAGACCATAGTTATCAGCAATCGAGGACTATCTGTGTTGTCATTCAGTAGTCGGGGTGTTAAAATTTCCAAATTTGTTACTTGTCCATCACAGGGAGCTAAACAAAAAAGACCTCTATACAATCATAGTTCTATATGATGTCTACATTGAGGTATGACAAAATATTGCCCATAAATAAGTACAGTTTGTATGACGTTCAATGGGCTTTACAACTATGTTTTGATGCATATTGCAGTCTGGGTTACTGTTGCACACTTAAAAATAGATGGAATACTGTAAAATACTTTATTTTAGCTGGAATTACTCTTCACTGTGAAAAAAAATTTGGGGTGTTTTGACGAGTTGAATGTAAAATATAGGGAAGGTATATTCACAGGATTTTATTTTCACTGAATTTTCAGAAAAAATAGATTCAAAGCGAGAATAAAATATATTACAGTATGTAAGAAAAGTTTGAACGAGTACATTTCATGCAGATTTGATTACAACCTATCAGAATTTAGTTTATGTTTTGTTTAAATAACTTTACACAAATTCTCCCCGAAAAATCTACTTCATGAAGAAAAACAATCATCATTACTTCTCTTTCTACTACATTATTATACATCTGTCACCGTAACGCAATAAGTTACAGCGTAGTGTAATTTTGCGGTATTTTCATCCTACCATATTAGGAAATGCGAATTCCAAATATGGAATGATTACATGCGTAAACATTCTCTAATAATTAAAACAAACATGGCTGCCACCAGTGTTTGACTGGACACCATACAAAGAAGTTCACTGATTCTGTTCTAAACTTTTTGAATTTCGGCATTGCCATGATGTATCCTTGGAAGGAAAGACGTATAATAATAATAATAAGGTTATTACAAGGATACCTCAAAGTATGCACTCAGACAGTATGCTGTTGCATCGACCTCCGCTGCATGTCAATCGATACTCCCGCTGTACTGTTTTTGTGCATACTTTGAGGCATCCTCGTTAAAACCTCATAGTATGTATTATATTAGAAGCACATACCTAACAAAAATGTATATAAAGCAAATATTGGATTTATACTACACCTGATCATTGCAATATGACTTATTGGCAATAACTGTGTTATTTACGTGAGCACAGACACTTAATTCAGCAAATACGGTATTGTTATTCTGATCTATTGTTAGATTTTACCAAAATCATGTGCTACAAAATAATATGGCTTAAAGAGATAAACATACCAGTCGCTCAAATTCATATTTAATATTTTATCATCAGAAAAAACCTTGAAATGTGACCAAGCCAACACATAATCTAGTATTGTCAATATTTTGATGGAAAATATGCTATTTTATCAACTCTTGAAGCCTAGTTGCTAAGCAACCATTCATGTTTTCATGAGTCACCACATGTACAGTTATAAGAAAAAGTTACTTTAAATAATCACCGGTACATCAAGTTTCCAAATCTGCAGATGAAAGCTAGTTTACAAAGTTAGAATATCAGAAAATATAAGCACCAAATTCACTGGAAATAAAATACTGAGTACTGTGTAAAGATATTTCATGCTAGAGGCTTTTTATAGGATAAATATAGGCTATCCATGACTACTGTGGAGGCTTACAGCAGTCAATGCGGTAAAATCTCAAACTTGGACAACTTATAGGTTTACAGCACTGTTGTGAAGTTCATGTACAAAATGAATTATCCTTATGCATGACTCTCACAAGGTCACACATCCTGGTACTTACTGGGAGAGGGGGTGCAAATTCAATAAATGAGAATTTCTAAATTTTGTTCCCCAAAAAATGCAAGCTGTTACTGACATTCAAACAGTTTAAAAAACATGACAAAAATTGATATACAATATTTGTAAGTAACAATACCCCCAAAATACCTGGATGTGTAACGGATCATGCACAAGAAATACCCCCAAAATACCTGGATGTGTGACGGATCATGCACAAGAAATACCCCCAAAATACCAAATACCCCCAAAATACCTGGATGTGTGATGGATCATGCACAAGAAATACCCCCAAAATACCTGGATGTGTGACGGATCATGCACAAGAAATACCTCCAAAATACCTGGATGTGTGACGGATCATGCACAAGAAATACCCCCAAAATACCTGGATGTGTAACGGATCATGCACAAGACCCATTGAAGATAATGATTCATTTTTCTTGCACTGCATATTTCTCAGAAATGAAGACTGCAGTGGTTCTCTAGTTGGCTATACATAAAAATTATACCATAGAATAATAATACATCTTAAAATAAGACTTCGCATACCAGTATATTGATGACAAATCTTGCGCAACAGAAACAGTGCAAGAAATACTCATATATTCAAACCTACAGAGTATGAAGGTTTTACTTCTTATACTACCCTGTTTGAGTATTTATGAATTGCAGTTGAAAGCAATAGTTATCTTGCCTAATAAAAAAAACATTAGTCCAAATGGCAAACGTACATCACTGGTGATCAACATGATACTCGCCATACATTTGGTCCAGGATTATGTTACTATCAGATGAACTAAGAACTGATTATCCTTCATAATTTAACTTCATAACAGTATAAAAACAAATCTTTGTTTGGAAAATGAAAGATAAATTAAAAGCCGATATACGAATAGTTATTACATGGTCGTTCCTCTGAGTGGCGGCGAGACCAATATAACACCATCACCTCTAACAAATAACATAGGGATATTCCGTTTGGTTGACTGAAATGGAAAATAAAATAAATACATTAGTTTTCAGTCAATGGGATATACATGTATATGATTATCACATTGTCATCAACGAAAATGTAGATCCCTACTGACACGTTGTGGACATGTTAAATCAATGGGGAATCTTGAACCATATCAATGACATTGTGACATTTTAAATAGACAGTACAAGTGCCCTGAAATTATCATCTCTCAAAAAACAGTAGAAATGTATTACCGGTAGATTGAATTACATGCACAAATGCCATGCCATGCAATTCCATGTTTAAAAATTAGCGATCAAATTTCTTTGCATTAAACATTATTTGCTTAAGTAAAACATGTTGACATAATTGATGAAGGTACACGTAGTAATACTATTGAACTGTAATTCTAAGTTCATAGTTCCACAGTATTACAGGTAAGGTTTGGTCCACTTTTTCTATCAAAAAAAATGTTATTTTAGTAATAAACATACATGATCTCTGGCAACTGTAGATATGCAACATGAGAAATACCTTTGACTACCCTGGCTTGTTAGTTTTATTATTACCTTATAAATTTCTTCATATGTTTCTTCATCTATTTCTACTGTAGTAACTGTTTCTTCTACATCACCAAGAATCATATTTAGATGTTGGTCGTATGCCTAATGAAAACAGTAAATGTAAAACTGACGCTACCCACATGATGTGTTTTAGCATTTCCAGTTTTGCTACTTCTTCAGTTTTTCATCTTTATTGTAATTTTTTTTTCAGAGTCAATAGCCAAATAAGGATACGATTATGCAAGATTACTATTATTACATGAAAGATAATGTTCAACAAATTGGTTCATATACTATAAGGATTGTGTCCTACAACTCTTACAATGTGAAAGTGTGAAACAAACACGACATGAAAAACATAGATGAGCACTTACATGTAGCCTTCCTCTAAGCTCCCTATCATTTCTCATTTTCACATATATTCTTTCATCTAAACTCAGTCGTATTAAATCTAATGGTTCTTCAACTGTGTTTGAAGGTACCTAGAGTGAAATCATCAAAATTATCAGTACACATCCATTTAGACAGTTGAAAAAAGGCCTTGCGTGTAATAGGGATACATCTAATAATTGCAAAGTTTAGAGAATAAATATGTGCCAGCATGGTCAATAAGGCCGAGAAAGAACAGTTTCTGGTCAATTTATTTTCTAAAATGAACCACGTAATTTTTATTCTATATTACCGGGTAACTTATATTTTAATTATGATTTTCACCTTGAATCTGATCATCAAACAGGTATATGAACATACAATACATAATTTATATATGAAGTCATGTCTGATGCAGCACTGGAGCGACATTCATTGAAAAACAAAATTGCCAAAACAAATGATGTGCATCATGTTCCCAGAATGCAGTTCTATGGCAACATATCTCATACACACCTGGAACAATCAATCTTAAACTTTACACATGTATCACACATAAAGTCATTTATGTAGTGTCTATGAAACAAACCATGTCATTGAAAATGACTTGTTCATTAAGATTTACACTGGTCTGGTGATTTCAATAGAATATCATTCTACCAATAAGTTAATAACAGATGAATAACAGATGCCTAACTTTGTACAATATAATACACTATTGACAGGACAGATTACTGGGAATTTGATAAAACAAATTTCACATTTTTAATAAATTCACGTGCTTGAACTATGACCTTCCCAAAGCACTGGATACTCCTCACATAGGTGTAACAATATAATATACAATGTTTCAATATTATTCTCTTTATTTGCATAATTTTGACCAGGCATAACGATATCAACAAATAACCGCGTAAGCAGTGTTTAACCAGTCAGTACACTAGCAGCGGGGCCAAAGCATATGCCAAATGCAATGCACATGTGCCAGTGGTTATGTACGGTACAGTACTGAGGTAGTGAACTACTAGTATTAGTAGTGACTGACCAAAGTCGCTGACTATTGAAAGAACAAGTTAAAATAAACTATTTTTTACACATTAATATCGAGTAATATATGTAAATAGTAACCAGTCAATCAATTATCGTACCTGATCCTGGTCGTCCGCCATTTTGACCTACTTTGAATTCGGTTCTGTGATTGGTTGGTTTGCTGTTCTCGTCAAAGAAAATTTGGCGCGAGATTTATACGAGATTACGTCGTATGTAAATGTATGTAAATGTTCAGCTGATTTTGTTTGGCTTGCCTTTTTCTTCGTCAATGTACGCGAAGTAAACACAGATCGAAATGCCAAATACACGTAGGAACAAAGCAAAGACTTCAAAAGCTGCATCGGAGATAACTGCTCCAACTAGTGCTAAACGCAGACGTAGAGGCAGGGAAAACTCACGCGAAGGTATTGTAATATAAAACATTGTCAGTACGTCCCTGCTCAGTCCCTCGAATACCGGTAGATGTGGTCCCGATAAACACAGCTAGTGATGTACTCTCATATGACAATACACATTTTTATTGACTTTTCGCTGATGATGTTTCTATCCTAGACTTCAAAATATGACCATATATTTTATTTTTTGATTTTTGGTGAATTACTATTATTTTTGATCAAAATTAATATTTTTGACTACTTTTCAAAATTGATGTGCGTATGTCTAGTCTACTTCAAATGCATACTTCATTCAAATATCAAACATACATTGTGCTTTTATTTTTTGTGTAAAAATGCCTTCACTATTGATATCATTTTCGAACCTGTAATTTGTAGCAATATTTCATTTTATTCTATGCAGGGGTGGAAAGTAAAAGTGTAGAAAGAAATAATGATTTAACAAGCCAAAGTGCCATTAAAGGAACTGAAAATGGCAGTAAACCTATGCCTACAACAAGACTCAGACCAGCAACTAGGAAAAGAGAAGTATCACTGGAGGAGAGAAAGAGCCAGCATGATAAAATAGATAGTGGCAGAGTGGATTTTGAAGAACTAACTTTCACACCAAGATCTCCAACAAACTTACGAGAAAGGAAGAATAGAAAATGTAGAAATTCAAAAAAGAACAGTCAGAATGAAGATAACACTATCTCATCACCTTCACATCCAAATGATGAGGAGCCGAGCCAAAAAAGTGGCAAGAAATGTCAAATTCAACAAACCAAAGAGAAAAGAGATACACTTACATTTAATAAAAAACCTATTACACTTGACAAAGTTGGTTGCAATAGGAACAAAAGAAAGAGAAAATGTGAAGATGCAGTTGCCATAGAAATAAAAAAAGATAAAGATGATCAAGGGTCAACAGGTGTTGGTGGAAGATGTGATGCAAGTACATCTGAGAAGTTTCCAAGAAGAGACTGTTCCAAGGAACAGATGAGTAGTGGTGATACAGAAGTTACCATGGAAACAAATGAGAAATCTGATGACTCATCAGATGAAAGTGACTGGGAAGAAGTGGAAGGTAATTTATATTTTATTACCATTGTTTGGTAAACCTAGTTTCATGTATCCATTTTCTTGTAGTCAAATAATGACTGTCTCCTGCATTGTTTTCAATGTTGTAAACTGTAAGAAGCAAATTTTCATGAACTTCACAAGTCTGGGAAAATCATAAAATTTTCAAGCATTAGGATTCTCTTGAATGCTATCATTTTTCCTCTAAACTTTTGGGGCCACATATTTCAAATTTTAATGTATTTCACTAAAATTTTGTTGACAAAATTTCCTATGTATATTGGATGCAAGTTTTGATCAAAAACTTTGAAAAATATGAAAAAGTTGTGCAGGTATACTTTGTGATTGGTGATAAAATGTAATATCTTTGACATTCAGAGGGTTATGACAGTGAGTCTCAGTGTCATTCATATAATGTCCTCCAGTTGTGAAAATCAAAATGAAATATTAAACTATTGTTAAGTATTCTATGTATTCCATACCTTTTTATAGAATTAAAGGCAGAACAATTAGTTGCTCTGAAATCTCAGCTGCCAGAGAAGCCATTGGAAATTACAGTTGACATGCCGGAATCCATGAAGATGAAAAGAAGGTGAGAAATAAGATCCTGTAAAATTTAGGGCAAGATGGCAGATGAAATTAATGTGCTAGTGGTGATCCAAGTCAGCTGTATCCTGGTTCCGGGTGCTATGGGAAATGTGCCAGTAATAATATTTTGAGGCCAAACTGTGAATGAACCATATATATGTGTGCTAATGATTCCAATTGTCTGGTCAGATGTTCTACGTCATTTTTTTTTGGGCCAATGTACAATGAAAAATTTGTCAAAATGCCTAACAATCATAGTTGCTTATCCCATTAGCAACTTTCTTTCCTTTTAGTGTAGTAGTTTATCACAAGCATAGACCCTAGCTCTAACAGTTAGAGGGTCTATGTCACAACTAATCTTTATTGCTATTAACTGATAGAAACATGGTAAAGCAATAAAGTTATTATTATTATTAGTTTGAGTAAACTAAAATGTTAATCTAGATGTCTAGTCAATCAAAAACACTTAAAAATACATGTATTTCTCAGTGTCTTTGATTCAATCTGCAAAGCTTGTTGGTTTACAAACTGTACAATGTATATTGTCTAATCAATGGGGGCAGCAGCATAACAATGTGCAAAAGGAAACAATAGACCGGTTGGGGCCTCCCAAATATCACATCTGTACAGTGGGCTACTTACTGTGTTATTGCTCAGACTGATAATGAAGTCTGCAATTAGTGTTATAGTGGGTACTCACCAACTTCAATTAGTTTTGTTTTCTGTCATTTAGCTGTATGCAAAAAGATGGCTGTCCCCATATACTGGTAGTAAACATTGGTAAATTAATTGCATTTATTTTATTATCACTTGTATGCCAGATGTGTGAACTCTGTTAGAACCGAGGGGTATTTCGTATTGAACAGGGGTTATGTTATTGACAAAAACATTTTGAATTCAATTAATGTAGGAAGAAATATGAATGTGATTTGCTTGCATATTTTCGACGTCAAATGAATCGATACAATAAAGAACAACGAATTGAGCTGCATAAGGTGAGAATTCATTTACAATAACTCAGGGGCAATAATGTTTTATGATAACCCAGGGACTCAAAACAATAACGTCTGTTGATAACTACTTGTACTTGTGATGTCAGAACTATAATAGCAGTATGGAACAAATTTCCAATTACGAAAAACTCCAAAAAGCATTAGATTAAAGTTGATTGTGTGAGCCTACGCATAGTGCTAGACAGAATCGCTTCATCAGACAATATTCATTTATAATACATTGTAGCAACCAATTCAGAAGGTTCCTAAACACAGTTGTGCAGTGACTACCTGAGTTTAAAAAATGCTGCCAAAAATCAGTTGCACTTACAGCAAAAATATTCATTGTCCAATTTACTACCCACCGTGTAAAAAAAGGGCTGAAACTAGTGATTACCATGAGTCTTTGAGTTCCAGAAATATTTTGATTTTAAAATTGAACTTAGCGGTAACCCACTTTATGCACATTCCACTGTGTTACATGTCTTGAATAATTGCTGTATATACTGTCATGATCACTCTCAGATAATTGAAATCTATTCATTACAAGCATTTTTGTTTGTTCTCAGGTTCATTTGTTATGTCTTGTTGCCAGTGGTTTCTATCAAAATGAAGTTTGTAATGATGTGACACTGACTGCAATAGCTCTATCTATGCTACCACAGCATTTCATACAGAAAAAGACAAACCAGTGGGGTGTTCCACTGTTAACAAGGCTACTCAAATGGTATATACATGACATTTATTTCTGTACATGTAAATATAGCAAATAAAATAATTTATCACCAAATTTTAAAAATTATTTCATATATAAATGTTTTCAATTTTTAATTAGTTTTGAACATAAACCTATAAGGCTGCTTGAATTTAAAGAGGAAGTCAAACCAAACAACATAATGCTCCCCAAGGAAAGAGCTCCACAAATGTAGGAGAATGCAATTTACAGTTTTTGTATATCACTTTTCTTTCTCTAGATATTTGACTTTTCACCAATATTATGTAGTTCGCCATCTTCTTAATTTCTGACAACAGTGAATATGATGTTATACTTTACCCATAATCCTTTGCTGAAGAACCAAGATGGTGGACTATAATATATAATACTATAATACTAAAAAGTTGAATATCTAGAGAATGAAAAGTGATATAAACAAACTGTAAATTGCATGTCCTTACATTTGTCGAGCTCTTTCATCTGCAAGTATTATGTTGTTAGCCTTGACTTTTCCTTTAATGCAGTCATGTGGGTTAAAATTTGAATGTGAAAATCATTGTATGCTAATGATATGCAGTTACTTTAATACTTGCATCGATGGAAATTACCTATAGTTATAAGTTTTAAAGTTTATATACCAGTACTAATTTTTCATTGAAGGAAATTGTGTATGCTAAATATATTATTATTATGGTTCTATTTCAGACATAGTCCATATATAAAGAAAAAGATACAAAAAAATATGTAATAAGATAAAAATTACAAACCATACAGATTTGAAAACTATAGTAAACTTAGTAGACTACCTTTGTCCAATGCTGCACTAAAGTAAGACTTCCATCTCACATCACTATTGAGGAAGGCACACACAAGCATATTGCTTGATTTTCGTAGTCGATCCATAAATGCATAAATTAGCTTTCTATATAAACCGATAAATGTATTTGTACAGTTTTCAACAAACATAGTGTTGCGCTACAGTCACAGGCCTACCCCAACAGTTTACGAAAAGTGTTATTATAACTGACTCAAAGGACATTAACAGTTACTTTTCTATACACGTAAAGATATTTAAATTTTATTGACATTGAGGAGATTATCGTGTATGCTATTATGATAAGAACTCTAGTTCACACTTTTATGGTGAAGCTTCATTGCATTTAGACGAAAAGTGTGACTGATGGAGTACTGTAGAATACTTTATTTTCGCTTGGAATTTATTTTCGCTATTTTCGCAGAAGGGATGATTCCGTGAAAATAAAATCCAGCGAATATACTTGTTTTCCTATATTTCACATTAAACTCATGACAAATCAGTGAAAATAAATTTCAAGCAAAACGCCCAAGAAGCCTTTTCAGCGAAAATTAATTCCAGCGAAAATAAAGTATTCCACAGTAACTTGTTTTTATTGCCAGAGACATGATTCTAGTTATCATTGCTTAATATTTACTTCTTTTGTTGATACCTATAGGTTCAAATCAATATTTGTGATAGATCCAAATCTATCAAGTGAAACTACTAACTTGGGTGACAAACTGATACAAAGGTTTGAGAATAATATGAAAGTTGGTTCTGAAATGGAATTGGTTCATGTGAGTATATTCTCTTGCAGCTGAATTATGGACATACCCAATGTTTGGAGTAATTAATGTACACTCTGCAACAGTTACGACATATGCAAGATATCTGGGTCAGAAGTTGCTTGAAAATAGACACAAATTACCATAGATTTGCTTGTGTTAGAGTTTGCAGCTTCTTAGACATCATGAA